GTGTCAACCCAAGCAGTCCCCCAGTTCAATCCCGAGCCAACCCCCAAGCGAGTCAAGAACCGAGTGGCTGCCTAGCTTCAGCCCCAGCACCAAGCACCAGGTTCCGAGCACAGCCAGCTTCCAGCCCAGAGCACCAGTGCCCAACAGAGTATCCCAGTGCCTGAAGCCCCGCCAGCAAGCGCAGACCAAGTCAAAGTCCCAGTGGCACCCCAAGTTCCGTCCCCAGTGAATCTCCCACAGCAAGTCCTCAACCTAGTGCTCAGCAATGTTTTCTTGATCGATCTAGTGTTGATGCAGCTCTACTCAATATTCCAACTGCCCAAGCTACCTATGGTCCCATCCACAGCTGGTGCTTTGAAGAAATGTCCTTGACGAACTTTTTTACTTCGATAGGACAGGTGATGACATGCAGACTTTCTCTCATAGCATCACTGGATGGGATGTTAGCAAAATCACTGACATGGGGAAAATGTTCAGGGGTGCTACATACTTCAACCAAGACATTTCTTCCTGGGATACAGGATCAGTTACTGGCATGAATGGCATGTTCTATGGAGCAGCCACCTTCAATCAAAATATTGGTGGATGGGATCTCCGGGAAGTTGCACATACAAATTCCATGTTCCGTGAAGCTACCAGCTTTAATCAAAACATCGGTGGCTGGATGGTGAGCAAAGTAACACACCTTCATAACATGTTCAGAAATGCCGACTCCTTCGATCAAGATATTTCTGGTTGGGATGTGTCAAAGGTCACCCTCATGCATGCGATGTTCCAGTATGCAACAGCGTTCAACCAAGACATCTCAAGTTGGGATGTTAGCAGCGTTACAAGCATGTTGCAAACCTTTCGCTTTGCAACAGCATTCAACCGAAATTTGTGTGCTTGGGGCGGAAAGGGGTCAGGGTGGACTAACACATTTGAGGGAAGTGCTTGTACAGAACAAGGAGACCCAACATTACAGTCTGATGGAGTGACATGGTCTCTTTCTGTCATGTCCAGCTTCTGATGAATCCCAGTACTGCGCCAAGTATAGTCCACTACAGCCAGCTGCCGAGTGAGATCTACACCACTTCTCCCCAAGTCTGCTCCAAGTTCCTTGTCAAGTGATCTCCAAGTAAGGCACCAAGTGCAGCTCAAGCATCGTTCCCAGCATGGTTCCAAGTGCTACTCTCAGTTTTCCCCAAGCTCTGCCCCAAGTGGTTCTCTCAGTACTAGGCCCAGTGGTCTCCCCACCTTGCACCAACCACTAGCCAGGCAAGTGAGAATCCCACTAGAAGACCCACTTCCTCCCAAGCTCTGCTCCAAGTAGCTCGGCATCCGCGAGCCCATCTGCCTTGCCATTTTCTCATGCCCCATCCATGGCACCTTCTCGTGTGCCATCTCCGAACCCAACGACACGTCCTACAATATCTTCTCCCAATGAGGTTGTTAGTTTAAGTGTGTATGATGGTGACACAGGTCCTGGCGGAGGTGCATTGTACCTGGTAACAGAGAATACAAGCATCAATTCCGCCCCCTCTTCCCTTGGGATTTGGGCAGATGTTGACGATCTCTTGGTGGACCAGGTTGTTTTCCATGTTGTTGGAGGTTCAGCAAATACTGGATTTTTAACTTTTGCCTTTAGTTTGGGTGACAACAACTGGGACTATGGCTTGTTTTGGTCCCAACTTTCTGATCCTTCTGGTACGGCAATAATGGTCTCAGCCACACCATATATTGGAGGTGTGGCAGGCACAGCTCTTTCAGTGACCATCACTGTAAACTACTAATTTCAGTCCATAATAATAGAGACAGGTTGGCCAACCTGTTGCTTGTTCTATACTCAAACATAAACCGGTTATGGTGTTTGGTTGTGACTTTTGGAATGCCTCCCCGCACTTTGCTAAAGCTAAGCTATTTAAGGGTCAGCACACTTTGCAAAAAATCTAACTAAGCAAGACCGAATGTTTTTAGGCAGGTTGTTCCAATATGGTGTTCTACTCAAACAGAAGAAAGATCATCTTGATCCTTTTGATTCCTTGATGCGATATTCTGGCCCTATATAGCGCTTGAGACTGCGGATCTCCCTCTTCCTTTGCTCTCGATGCTGGTTGCTTTGATATGTATCATACGTTGGTGACAGGACAGATATAAGAAAGAGGATCAGATTTTCCCAGAAAAGGACATTGCAATCTTCTTTAAGCAAACCTGTTTTAACCTCGGCAGTCTTGCTGCCAGAGCCTCAACCCCTTTACCTCGGCAGTCTTGCTGCCAGAGCCCTCAACCACTTGAACCTCGGCAGTCTTGCTGCCAGAGCCCCTCAACCCATTTAATTGTATTTCCTGCTATGGTGGTCACTGTAGGTATAAGGGTAGGGTTACAATCGAAATAAGCCAGCAAAATCTATTTAAATTTTCTGGCTCATAAAATAGAGTTTGAATAGTAATAAGCCAGCAAAAGGTGTATAATTATCACAGACAGAAATTCAACTCAAATTAAGAATATTTACGAAGCCAAACACGTTTTTTCTGGAATGCCAGAGCATGATCAGGATCCCATGGCCCGGTATCATTTCGATACCCAGAAAGAAATGGTGCAATATCGCAATATCTTTCTCAGGAGCATATTGAATTGTACTGTATCTGGTTCAAGAAGATCCCAAGGAGTGTCAACACTGGAGGCAAGTGGACATCCTGGAGGAAATTGAGGTGCTTTTACAGGAGCGTATTCGACAACATTTTGGGCAATCAAAAAATTGCAATCTGAGAGCTGATCAAATTCTGAATGGCACCTTTCCCACCAACAATCTTGACGAACTTACCAAGATATTCCTGGAAGCTCTACAGTATGTGTCGGACAAGGACTTCATTTCCCCCACAATCAGCAAGGAAGAATATTTGGGCAAAGTCAAAGTCTGGAATGAGAGGACGAGCACATCCCCAAGCAGCAACATGCACCTGGGGCACAGCAAAACATTCATACAAAGACGACTCACCTGAAGCTGATGCATTGAAGAATAAGAGGAACAGTCCTCCTTCCTCAATGGTCATCTTGCTCTTCTCAGTTAGTGTCTCCAATTTGGTTATAGTTTCGATTCTTGGAAACCCATCATCAATGCCATGCTCGAGAAGAACCCCGGCTGCCCCAAGATCCTGAGTGTTAAATGGCGGGCAGTTCTTCACCATGCTTGCAACAACGGATACATCAATGAGCATCAATTTGATTCTCAACCAGGGAAAGAGGCACTCGATGCAGTTTTCATCCGTAAATTAGAGTACGAACTCACGCGCCTGGCTTAGTGAAATTTGTTGCACTTCGACAATGATGCAACATATTGCTACGATTGCATTCCCTGTTTCCTGGCCAATGTTGCAAGTCGGAAATACGGCATGCACCACAAGGTATGTGTGGTACAAAGGGAAGACGTTAGCAGAGAGGCTCGGTATCATTTGAAAACACAGCTCGGAGTCTCAGATGAATTCGTCAAACACAGTCAGGCCTCCCCTTGGTTTGGCACAGGTTAAGGGAGTGGAAACTCGCCCACATACTGGATGTTTATATGCAGTACCCTGTTAGATATCTACGAAAACAAGGCACAAGGGGCAACATACCTGAGTCCGGACAAGCTTCTGACAACAACGTAGACGACACCCGGAACTCTACCAACCAGTTTGGATAAGACCCACCACCAGTGGAAACCCTGATAACACGGGCGCAAGTTGAGAGTCAACTCTGGAACAACCTCCTTCTCACCTGCAATCAAAAATTAGAACTCACCAAGTGTGGCTGTCATGCCATGGAAACCATCTTTGAAGACGATGGAAAACCGATTCTTGTTGACAAACCAGATCTACCAGACCTCCAACTCCACGAAGATGATGCCGACTCCAACGACGAGGGCACCAAAGTCAAACAATGGGCCAACACCAAAGCCACAAGGTACTTGGGATGCTACGAATGTCCAGCAACAGCAGAGAAAGAAGCCACACTTAGTAAGGAGTGTCACGAAGATGATGCAGAAGCACCACTGCAAGCTGTTTATGAAAAGGTACCTGCTCAAGGACCCAATCCTGCAATGCGTGGAGAAGCATACGAAACAACTCGTACAGTCGGCTTCTCAAGAAAGGGACGATAGCGATGACAGCGATGATTTGTCGAGCTCGAGCAAAGAAACAAACTCCTCACAGCTTTTTAAAAGGTTCCTGTGCAAAGAAACACCATCCAGGAAGCAAAGAAAAGAATCAGTCAATGGGATCCCAGCAAATATCATTCCAAGTTTCGATGTCTCTCATGGATCGCCCCTTAATTTGGATTCCTCGGATGACGAGGAAGATGGGGAACTATACAAACCGATATTCCCACTTAGCCAGCCAAACACAAAGCCCAAACCAAATCGTGTTTTCTTATGCGATTCCTCCACAGACATAATGAAAAATGACTTGAACAGCTCGGATGAGGAAGAGTTCCAATTCACAATGAATGGATAATTGTTTCTTTGACAAGTACAACGAAGGAATAAACCCAAGATACAGCTAGGCCGCTGGTGCCACTCATGACTGAGAAAGAATAAGATCAGTGCTCTAACTGGCGTACTAGTAAGATGGTTATCTGTATATATCGATTCACACAAGTGCATAGCAGGAATCTTACGAGATGACCACCCAGGCTTCTGATAAAGCATATAGCGCAAAAGCAAACCACAAATCAGTACCGTAGCCAATTACCATAAACAAGGGCATGCATCAGGTTGGAAAACTGTTGGGTGTAATCGTCCATCATATCCTTTTTGGGGTTTAAATTACTTATTTAGTTCAACAAACTATTGGCCACGGAGTGGCTTTAATGACGCGGGCAAGCGATGGGGAAACCCCCACCTAGCTGAGTCGTCATCCACTAAATTGCCACACAGTGTCAAATCAGTCTCAAGAGTCCCGGATGGGGCCCCCATTAGTGGACAATGCTGCATGGGTGCAGGAGAAGGGGACAAAGGCAGCATCATATCCTTTTTGACAATGATATCACCAGTTGTTGTCTTCACGCTGCCTTCCGGAATTTCGTCCTCTGCTTTGGCTGCATGACTTCTTTTTGTTCTTGGTCCCCTGAGAGTCCTGGCAATAGTTCCTAATGTGACTAAACCCTTCCTTGTCGGTACTCCAATCTTCGACTTCTCCCGATGCAAACCATCCATTCATCCTTTCGATATTGGCCATTGGAAAGTTGCCTCTGCCATTCCTCGGCAAGACACGCCCATGCGATGTATTGTTCTGATGGGGGGCCCATGGATGGAACTCGGGATCTTCTTCCAACAGGGGTGGCAACTGACCCTTCTTCAATGTTGCTCCCCCTGTTTGCACGCTGACAAGAACCGTCAGAACCAGAGTCGAGTTCACGGTCCTGTCCATCACGAAACCAGAAGCCTGCATGGTGCTGGCGGGGTATAACAAGACAGTACCATGGCTGTGCAACAAAACCAAATCGTGCTGGTTTGTCTGTTCGCGTCCCATCATCATCCAATTCAGCCCCCCCCCCTTTCGTGACAGGGAATAATAGCCTTAAACTTGTAGATTTTCTTACCCACCCATTGCTTCAAAACTTCCGTCTTGTTTTCCCGATGAGGAACCTCGGTCCTGGTGCTACGGTTTCCTGTCTTGGAGACCTGGATGCACCCAGCTATGGTGACCGACATTTTCTGATCTTCAATCTCTGGATTGTGGCTTTTCACACACCACTTTGCCATGGCTCCAATGGACCTGTTAAGGCCTTTTATCTTGTTCTGTGTGTACTGGTCTACTTCTTTATTAAGAAGAGACAGGGCACCAGGCGATGGAATGGGAAAGTGGAATTCACGTAGGCGATCGTAACCGGAACCATCCTCTTCCAACAAAACTCCCGTTTCGTATTTCCCTCCATTGGTAAGCAGCTGGTAGAGCTTTGATTCCTTGTCCGGCAAAACCGAATGTGGGAAAACGGGCAGCATCACCTTGGTATAGTCCATGCAAGTTTCCAGAAGGATTTCATCGCACTTTGTCACAAAGAAGTCCCCATAGGGGTTTGTTTCCCAGGTACCGGGGACGTTATCGTAGGACAGATACATATCCCAACCGTTTGGCAATTTCAAACCACTTGGTGCAGTACCCTCGATGGAAACACCCTTGGCGCCAGCCAGACGGTAGTCAACTATGAGGAGGCATTGGTCTGCTTTTTCTTCATGCAAAGCAAGCCTCGTGTAGTGGGCCTTCTTCTTGTAGGAGTTGTGGACGAAGTGGGGGAGCGCACCGTTCTTGCGATTGCCTAATGACGTATGCATGTTGGCCAACGAAGCAGACAACTTGTGGGGGTAGACTGAGAACTTTGACTTCCCCACATCGGATTTTCCTCCTGGTACTCCAGCACTGTTTGATGGGCAAAGTGCAGTCCTATCATCACGGTTGCCTCCTGTTTGAGGTCTAACAAAGCACATCTGCTTCTCACCTGAGCCGGCGGTGCTCTGTCCCGCAGACAATTATAGCGGAAATCCCGGAATTTACAATCCTCGTCCAACATCGACATGCTGACTTGGCTCATGGTATCTCTTTCCATCAAAATTTTGAACGCCGACGGGGCCTTTTGGTGCAGTTTGGAATCCATTTGTTGATTGGCACAAAACAAGAACAGGAGAGCTGTGTCACACAAGGGCGGGAAGTGCCCCTCTGAGTTCTCTGTTTCGACCTCCTCATTAATCATGGCGTATCGAAAGGAGAATAACCTCCCAGGAACATCCTTGATATAATCCATCTCGAAACACTCGTACAAGGCCACCCTTATCTCAATGCCCTAGAGTGTGACAGAAAACGTAGACTTCCCTGGCCCCGCCAACACAGGAAGCTGGGTTGAGAAGGATCTCACGGGTGCGACTCAAGCAAGTGCATTCCTTTTTAGTGCTCCCACATTTGCCACCCTTGGGCCACATGGCAGCGACTTGGTAGATGACAATGTCTTTGATCAACCCACAGATGCCGCCTTCAGCTATTTCACTGGTTAAAGCTGCCCTTTTGGAAGAAATCCTACATCGTCGCTGAAGAGAGAAGCGGATGCAGCGGTGACAGTGTCTGGCTTCCGCTTTCTGCCACTCGCTCTCTGCTTCTTGTCTGAGCTTCTTTTGGCAGATCCGAGCTTGGTCGATGACTGCTGAGGTTCTTCGTGTTCGCTTTCCAGGAGCACTGGGGTGTCCTTGGTCGTAGCTGAATGACCTCCTGAACCTCCAGAAGCTAATGGAGTGGCAATGTTGGTGAGCTGTGCGGCATCCTCTACCTTGGATTCATCAGAGGCATTCTCTTTACTAGACTCCTCCTTCCCATCCCTGGATCCTGCACTTTTTCCACCGTTGGTCAGATTGCTCTCAGACTCTGTTTCGGTTTCCGAGCTGTCACTATTGCTGGCCGGGTTCTTCTTGGAACTCATGCTTGCCAGGTTCTTCTTGGAACTCATGCTTCTAAGATCTCTACCAGATATGTGATGCAGTGGTTGGACGGTGAGTAAGAAGAGGGTACTTGCAATATTTCGGTGCTAGATGATTCCGTTCTATGAAATTGTATCTTTAAGGAAGTTGTGTCTATGTGTTCAGTTTGGTTTGAGCATAGTTTTTCCATCGTGCACTCAGTTACACGCTGCTGCCACGGTGGGTAACTCTTCGTTCATCGAATACCATACTGTTGCCGACACGCTACGTTCCTTCCGGAGTGGTCTTCTGCAGAAGGAAAGTATGCATGTCTGAAGCAGGGGTTTCGCTAGCGAAGTGTAGGGGTATTGATTCCCTTGGCGAGTTCCTCGCTGGCGAAGGTAGTCGGTTGGAATGAATCGTTCTGGAGTTGTTACGTTTGTGGGCTGTTACGTTTATGGGCTGTTACGTTGTCGGCAGGATCTTTTGTAGTGTTCCCATGTCTGAGTCATCCAATCCCACTCGTGTCTGAAACTATTTTGAGAAGAAATCCATTTGATCCTCCTTCCTTTGTCAATGGACACCACACAATAGTCAGACAACCCAACAGTAAGAAAGACTTGCGGAATAGATGGCTAGCTATCTAATGGAAGCAAGGACAGTATCCAGGATCCATATTTATGTAATGCAATCAGGATTTGTTCTTTCCTGCTAGCTGGTCTCACAAAACTTTGTTCAGAAAGCGGTGTATCCTCAAATGGAAATGATTAGTTTCGCAATATCTTGACAATGGGCAACTTACCCTTCCAACGAATCATCAAAGTCAGAATGCTGCGACGTACGCACAACAACTGACTCATCCTACTGTGAAACAACACTACTACTCAGCTCGAAGGGCCAGATTCGGTATACAGTAGCTCAAAATCCTTTTTCGCTCAAAGGTCCAGATTCGGTACTGCAATACACGGCTCTTAGCCAATGCAATACACGGCTCTTAGCCTTATTCGCGACTCGATCCTAGATAGGGTCTGAGTTCGACTCATGACGTAGTCCTTCGCGAATAGTCATTGGAGACAGAATTCTCAATGACCGCTCTAGTCATACTAGGTTGATGATGAAACATCGCTCTAGATATTTAGCCAGCGTGGAGTACTTCCACGCTACTAGATAAATGCTAGACGAATCTTCCACGCGTTCCGTTTTTGGATCGTGGAGTGAGTAGAATTGCTACCGCAACCTACTCTATCTCACTCTACAGTCTCCCGCGGGAGTTCAGATCCACGATCCTTTGATTGTGGATCTCTCTCGTTGATTAGTTTTCATAGCTTTCTAATCCTCTCATATCCCTCATAACTTTCATTCTTCTAACTCAAAACACTCGAAAATCTTTACACTAGCTTTTAGCGTAGTGCATTTTGTTAACAAACACAATACCTTTCAGCTACCCTCAACTATTCCTACCATGAAGATTGCCAAAAACGCATACACCACTTCGAGTCTAACTGCGTGACAAACCAATCCTTCCTCTCATCGACCTCGAGATGAATGCGAAATCGACGATTCTCGCTCTACCACCTACAAACTTCGCACTATTCCAGCAGATCTAACAGCCCCAAGTACACTACGGTCCAAATCATCAATGGATCTGAGACTCCACGTCAAGCCATCAATGGGCTGTCGATATGGAGAAGTCTTCGGGGCCGGGGCTCGCCTATTGCTAGCCTGACGACAAACATAAACTCCTAAGTGAGATGACTTCTAGATCCGTACCAAGAGCAGTTACGAATCTAGCGTTGGCAGGCCACCGTGAATAGCGTTGGAATGCCTTCCCAGATTGCAGTCAACCAATTCCTCCACGCGACGTACTGGCGGTGAAGACGAAGCCACTTTCCAAGCACTGTTTCAGGCCGCCTGGAACGGAGCAGCTAGCACTGTTTGGACGACACTGACATTAACGTTTGGCATAAATGCCTGTTATCGAACCGGTCTGCCCCTACAAGTGATCTTGAAAAAGCAGAAACATTCATGCGCGCAGCAGATGATGATGTAAGATTAGCCCTGCTGGAGAGTATGTCTGGTAACTCTTGAATGTCACTGCGGCATAGTTGCGCACCTCAGTCGGATAAACACTCGATGAACTTCCCAGTCGTACCACCTTTTTGGTACCCAATCAAACGTTGAACCATGACGAAGTCATTTGACTATTGTTTGTCATGGAATTCTCATCGCTCGTGGATGAAGAAAATGGACGAACACGACTTCTTCCTTTCTCG